TAATCAAGTGTTTTCATAGAGCTGATAGATGTTTACTAATCGCTTTCTTTTCCCAACAGCTCCGAGGGAATGCTTCCTCTGTGGGCATCTGGCTGAGTTCGAGTGTCTTCAGTGTCTCCCAGATCGCAAAATGCAGCCGGGGAGAATCAAACCGTTCTGCTCCACCTGTAACACGCAGGTCAGCAACAAAGCCCTGCATATCTCTAAAAACTACCACTTCCAAAAACTTGGATATATGTATTTATTTATTATTTCAAAAAAATGTTCACATAGATTTTTTCTTGAATGTTATTCTTTATAGTCATTTCTATTTTATTGTATTTGTATTCTATTATATATTATAATTGTTTTATTTATATTGTTTATATATATTTATTTTTATTTATTTATTATTTATTTATATTTTTTATTTATTTCCTATACATTTTATTAGTATTTTCTTTTTTTTTATAAATGTATTTATTGCATTCCTCTTATATTATAAAAAAATGTCCTCAATTTATTGAGCATTTTTTTTCTTTCTCTGCACAAGTTTCTCGATAAATTAAATGTTTGTAATTCTTGGTTTTGATTTTTTTTAATCGTACTATAGTCATGTCTTAAATCAGGACAAATTCAAAACTTGACAATTCATCGGATTCTGATTCTCATAGATGTCAAGTTTCCTACCATCCAAACCTCTACCTTTTTTATTTCTCCTAAAGGTCCACAGCCACCCCTCTCGGCAGGCCCACTCCCCCAGAGCCCTGCCGGCCCCCGCGGCCTCTGATACTCCGGTTCCCCGACACACCATGCAGCTGTTTGCCGTGCTCTGCATTCAAACCAGCCACTATGTGTCCTTCCTCAAATACGGCCCTGATCCTCACTCCTGGCTCTTCTTTGACTGCATGGCAGACAGACATGGTACGACAGATTTCAGCTTATTTTATTTAATATGTTGCCTCTTTGTGTGAGCATCAAATCAATTAAGAGGATTACTGAATTTACACGAAAAATAAATGTACAGTGAAAATACTGTTGACAAAATACAGTATATTACATTTAAAGTGGAGAGCTGTGCAGATTTGAAAGGAGGACAGGTTATAGACAAATGTGCAAAATACTCAGAGGGGAATTGAGGGCTCACAGTATTAATATGAACACAAATAGCACGCATGATGTGCATTCATCTAATGCATAGTGTTTGTTGGGGCTATACATTGATTTGTATTATTCAAAAGTTAAACATCTTGCTGATCAATCCTTAGTGTAGTTATTTCTGCTTTTATTTGGAAGGCAGCTTTGGGCACCGGGTGATTAGGTATTTATTGGAGAAAGGTGGAGGTAGCAATGGTGCACCAGAAAAGGAATATGTGTTTTTGACCAGGTAAAGCCTCAGGAAAGGCAGCAGGGCAGTAGAGGTAAAAACATTGTTCGTTGTACTTTTGGATTATTGGTATGCAGAAAATACTCTACACAAAGGATATTCTTTCCTGGACAGTCGTTCATTTCCCGATGTAAGATTTGCTATCTGGTTTTACAGTTTTTTTCTTCATGGTTTTGCCCCTTCAGTGTTTTGTGTAGCGGGTACCATTAGTAGCATTGCAGAATAACAAAAGTAGTCATTTTATTCTGATGTTCGTGCAGACTCGTTTTGTTTTTCTAATGGACTGCCCTTTTTACTGATAAGGCCTCTCTCTGACGTCTTTGCCTGGCGTTTATCTCTTCTTCAGCTGATGTCTCTAATCTTAAGGCCAATCTTGTCGTAACAGGTGACGATCAACATGGCTACAACATTCCTGAGATCCGAGCTTGTCCGGAGCTGGGTGACTTCCTTTCCCAGCCGGAGGAGGACATGGCCCGCTCCCACCCCTCCCAGACCCCTGAGCTGGTGCGCAGGCTGCTGTGTGACTCCTACATGTTTTTATACCAAAACCCAGCCACGCCACTTTCTAGGTCAAACCACGAGGAGCCCTTTAACTGTTTTTTTAACAGCAGGGACAATACGTTCCTATAACAGTGCCTTCATAACCTTGCATTTCTGCTTAATCGGCAAGATTTTGTGTTGGTTATTACATCCAAACAATAGGAGCTAAACGGATGCTTTTAACATCATGTGGGAAGACAATATTATTTTCCTGTTCAGACATTTGACTATGAATTTTAGATGATATTTAATATATTTTAAATGAAGTTTTGGGCGGTTTTGCCTTTCTGTGAAGTAGGACAGTGTAGGTCCAAATGCCTGATTCTAACCTTGGACGCTGTTTGGCATGGTGCCATAACCACTGCAGCAACAAAGGCACCCCAATCAGAGTCAAACTTTATGCAAATGTGTAAAGAGGGAGAGCAGTAGATGTATAACAGTCTGAACGCCACTTTATCTCTTGAATGTCTTGCTGTTGTTACACTGTAATTATCCATTCCAATATTTCTTAAAAGGAAATTATGACATTAGACACACAAATTAATATATTGTAATGTATTTTATTGTTTTATTATTTAGAGTCCATTAAAACACTACGTGACATGTGTTACATTATTTAAACTTGGATTGTCATTGTGACTTTAAAGACTGAAGCCCACATGCTTCTTTAGTTTCTGTTTTAGGGCTGTCTCTTGAAAAACAGAAGACTGGAGTAAATGTACAATGTGTACTTTCTATGTTTTTTACTGTAAACTAATGCACTGAGGGCATTTTAGTAGATATGTAATATATAGTTTTTATCATTAAAGTGTAAATAAATCCAGTTGGATATCGGTGAACTATGCCTCACAGAATGTTATTGTACAAGGAATATACACAGAATCTCCTTAAGGAGAGACCTATCATTGTGTTTTTAGCAGCCATTTACAGTGAAAATGTGTATTTTGATCCATTCTATCAACCACATCTAAAGCCTTTTTTATGCTAAATCTGTATCTAATCTTACGAAGCAATACAAGTGGTGCATTGAACTGTACTTTGAGGACAGATGAGCCTTTTCAGGATACATTATGGGCTGTAATGCCCTCTTGTGGCAATCATCCTTAACTGTGAAACACTATTTTCTTATCAACACATTGTGTGCAGGCCGATCCAAACAAACCAAAAGGAACATTATTCTTATAATCACGGGTGGAATACATATTCATTCAAAAATAAAAACACAGCAAAACAAAAGTTCAAGCTACCCTATCATTATATTATTTTATGACTAGATTAAGGAATATTTTTTAAATACTAGATTGTCATTGCAAAAGCTATGCTGTAGCTATTGTGCACATGTCAATAAAGCTTTTTAATCTTGAATAGAGATAGTATTTTGCAGCCTATCAGGACGAAGCACCGGACCTGAGGAGAAAAGGCCTTTCGCTGCAGCCTCCCCCCCTCAATTGGAAAGGCCAACACATTCACATCCTCCAAAAAAGCTCTCAAAACTCACCTTTTCACTCTTTTAACCTTTAATCCTTTACCTCCACTTTCTCCCCCTTGGCTTTACTTTGTACTTTTCCTTTGTTGCTCTATTCTGTATTTGAAGGTAAAGCGTCTATGAGCACAGAGTAAAGAGCTATATAAACATTATGTATTATTATTATTGATCGATCCCAAATTGGAAATGTTTGTGTTACAGTGGCAGCAGGTTAAATAGCATTGCACAGGAGTACAAATACAAACAAATAACTTTACAAACCGTATCAATGCTAGAAAGATATACTGTATTTTGGATACACAATATAGCAAACAAAAAAAATGTACGAAAGAGGATGAGTTAAACCAGCTGGTATGAGACTGAAATCTACTTTGAAAGATGTGTCAGGTGGTTATTATTCTGAACCATATCTTTGAATTTCAGTTTTCCTCGTCAGCTGCAGTCTGAGTCTGTCTGCCTTTGAGTTGTAATGTGATCGGTCCTGTTGGCTCTCAAGGTTGTGCAGGACAGGACGGTCTTCTGTCCATTACTGTATGTGTCAAACACTAGCCTACACAAGTGAAATCACTAAGACATATAGCTTAATACGCATATTCACAAGGTGATACAGGGATGGACATACATCTGAAAGGACATACTTCTTTGGACATGATGTTAATGATGATGTAAGTATTTATCATAAGAGCTAATTTATTTTGCTTTTGGACACAGATCAAGTGATTACAAAGAAAAAACAGATAAACAAGTAGGGCTGGAAGCAGCTTGTCCTCCTGATACAAGTACTGTACTTAAGAACAATTTTTGAGTGACTTTTACTTTACTTTGTTGCTACTTTGTACTTCTACCCCACTACAATTCAGAAGTAAATTGCTTACTTTTACTCAACTTCATTTATTTGACACCTTTTTTTTGCATATTTGGATTAATGCTATGAAATAAAAACAACACTTAAATAAGACTTTAGTTACACCTGGAGTTTATTCACTAGCTACCCTGCAGTATACAAAGCAGTTAAAATTAGCTCCATGTTTACCAGTTTTGATACCACTTTAATGCATTAATAATTATAATCAAAACATATAATAATATTATTTTGAAATGGGCCAATTTGCACAATGGGTACTTTTACTTTGAGTAGGTATATTTTTATGTTGATACTTTTGTACTGTTACTTGAGTAACATTTTGAATGCAGGACTAATCACAGAGTATTGCTTCACTCTGGTACTTCTACTAATAACAGATCTGAGTACTTCTTCCACCTCTGGAAAAGAGACACACATAAGTCATTTTTCCATGTCTGCTTACTTAGTTGTATTATATTAAGGAAGATTGTTTATTATCAAAAGCACAACAAATACAGAGAAGCAGTCAATAGCAATTGCAATGTCAGAGGCTCCCTCCAGCGATGCGTGATACATATTGGTACTACTTTTACTTGAGTACAATATCCGCGTACTTCTCCCTTCTCTGTACATGTGTTCCTCTCCTGTGTGTGACCATCGTGGGCCTGAAGCAGAGCAACACGTTTTGTGAAGAGGAGGAGCCACTCTGCTCCCTACCATTTAAATGTAAACGCATGCGCAGTAGTCTACAATCGGGACTTATAGCTCTTACACAACTGTGCCTTTCTTCATTCTGCCTGCTTCTCCTCGCCAGTGTGTGGAAACCACTACACGTTTACTCATTTTAGATTTTTAACCAAACCACGTCAAGGAAATGAGTGGGGACCATTCCCACAATGAGGACCAGGTAATGTCATCTATGGTGGCTAATGGGATCCCTTTTATTAGCCTTGATTTGACAAGATAACTTGGCTAACTATGAATTGTGCATGCTAGCGCGCGTTAGCCCGAGTGTGTTTGTAACGATAATACAACTTATTGTGATTATAACAGCATCCTGACACGTCTAATCATGTCTGTATACGTATTGTTAAGGACATGTCCTCTCTGGTTAGCTCTCAGCTCTCACTGGCTACGTATGAACTGCCAGACAAAGTGGGGGTAACGCCACATTTGATTTGGCGTTAGCTTTAGCTGCTGCTAGCCCGTAGCGGCTCTGGTTTCAGCCGTTGATCCATGTTAACAGTAAGCGTAGCATGATAGCATCGCTAGCATAGTTAGCATGGAAGCTAACAAACTCCCTATGCCAATCCAGCAAGTTCAAAGTTAGTTAGCCGGCTAGTTAGCCTCTACCATATTAAACATCAATCTGTTTTTGATTTTTCAGATTGACGGTGGCTCTCGTTTCAATGGTAAGTGTGTGACACGTTGTTAACAAGTTATAAGAGGGGTTTCTGACATGTATCCACTGATTAAATGGTAGTTCTCAGCAGAGGGCTGAAATGGCGTCCAGAGACTAAGTCCTCTGTCTCACTCTCAGGCGCCTATTGTTCAAAAGGGAGGTCTAATAAAAGCATTTCCGCCAGTTATTTTCTCAATTTCAGTCATTATTGGTACACACCTCGAGGTGTTTTATTAGTTTCCCGTGTCAGATTTGTTTGTTGGAAGGGTTTTAATGCCATATTTCCCACCTGAAAGTGAGGGTTTGGGGGTTGAGGACTTAGTCTCTGCGCCATTTTCTTTTTTCAGTGGAGCGGCCTGTCTGCTGCAAGCTGAACCCAGGCTGTGAAGTGTGCAGATGGCTGTGTGCAGGAGAAATGGGAAGGCACAGTGCTCCGATAAGATCCCACGTAGAGCCCAGAAAGGGTCTACAGTTTTTGAATATACGATCGTTAACTCCTTTTTATAGCATAACTTTTTATTATAGCAACTGCGACTTCAAATTCCCTCAAAGTGGACCGTTTTTTAAGTTGGATTCTCATTTCAACAGACAGCACATCATTTCATTAACTTTAGTGCTTTGTCACTCAAGCTAAACGAGAATATTGGAGAATATGAACATATTTTAAGAGTTTTGGGAGTTTTATTACTAGAACGTTTTTCAACTAATAACCTATATAAAGCATCACCATATGTCATTCAAAGAAAACAACATTTTTATTTTATTTCTGTTGATGTAGTCTAATTGTTTTAGGGTATAAACTCTAAATATTGTCCAAGTTAGTTAAGTGTTTCAGTAATATTATTCGGGCCCTTTCAAATAAATGAATCGAGCCACATAGCATGCATTATAAATCTCGGGCTAACAAGTCTACTAAGAAATTTCCTAAACATCACCAATCCACTTATTTGGTTTTCATTCATCAGCAATTGGAAAGCAAACTACTGGGACCTAAATAATTCTGCATTTTCTTCTAATTATCAGAGAGATTGCTGGATAAATTCCACTCAGACAGGACTTTCTAACTTCAGAGTGCAATGTTCTGTGTTTTTTAAAGAATATAACACCGGCATGTTGAAAAGATAATGACACGTGCATCTGTTAAACGGATTAAGTAGCACAAATTGTACTTTTTGCATTCCTTTTGGATGGTTTGGGAGAAACGGCTTGCTTGTTTACCACATATAATCTGAGATTTAGTTTTTCAGCTGTGAACTGTAGAGTGTAGTGTTGGCCAAAAGTCTGTCAGATTTGGTCTTCAGTGTGTAGTAGGGGAGATCAAATCTTTGAAATGGTCTCTAGGTGATTTGGTCTAGTTTTGAGATGACGACAGAACTCATCTCTGTCGTTTAAAAAAAAAAAAAGGCAACCGGGAACTCCTTTTACAATAATACATGTAATAAACAAGGTAGTAACATTTTCATCCTTCATTGTGAATGAATGAGTCACTTGTCATACCACTTTCTTTATAAACTCTTTGTCCTACACTGGCATTCCAGGACAATATAGACATTTTTTGGGAGCGTGTTTAGTAGACTAGACTGTTTACGTTTCTTGTGACCGAGTGTATTGCCTAATACCCCTGAAGCTGGTAGACTTGATTTGGTGTTTACGTCAAGATTGGGTGTGGGCTCTTTCATTTGGGTAATTGCCTTCTTGTCATACAATAAGAGATTTCTTAGTGCTGTGGCTTACAAATTAAAGAGACTATTTTGTTCACTGGCATGTTTCAACCTGTCAGATGTTTGATGTCTCAAACAATTACCCTTATATGGGCAGTAGGTGGTGCTGTACTACTGTGTAATACATTTCTCAGTCTACATTGTGCATGACATTCAGATAGTGGTGCGTGTTCAGACCAATTGTAACAATTGACCTGACGTTTTAACTTGGAGCAGCTTTGTGGGGGTACAATGTTCTTTTGGTGGTCAGTTTTTCAGCCTGTCCACATTAGCATCTGCTTTAGGGGAGTACACTTTGTTCAATGTTTGCCACCTGCTAATAGCTTCATAATGGTTTCAGCACGAGGCGGGCGTACCATGTATTCAGTCCATTGTTGTTGTCATTATCTTTTAATTTCAAGAAGTTGACAAATGTTTTTCCTCTCATAGACTCGCACAAGCATAAAGACAAGCATAAAGATAAGGACCACAAACATAAGGACCACAAGAAGGACAGGGAACGAGAGAAATCGAAGCATGCCAACAGGTACAGGCCGTGCTTCATAAATGCATATTTCTGTCGATATCTGCTCAAAGCAAAAAATACTGTCATAACCAAATTCTATGTATTGATTTTCTGAAGGTGAAACGACCTACATTTAATAGTTCTGCATTTTTTTTAATTTTAGCGATCACAAGGACTCCTCTGACAAAAAGCACAGAGACAAGGAGAAGGAAAAGATGAAGCACAAAGATGGCAGCGCAGACAAACACAAGGACAAGCACAAGGAGAAGGTGAATTGCCATGCACATAATTAATGGAAGAATGTGGCTGTGCATGTGAAGTTGTGATTTTAGGTTTCATCATTATGAATTATTCTGCGATATTAAGCTCTGTCAAGTCATACACTCATGGTCGTGGCCTGAAGCTATTTAAACTACAAAAAATATATACAACATACATTTGTCCGTGCGTCTTCTGTTTTGAATTATGATCTTGCTAAAGCTGCATTATCGAACGGACATAGCAATCAGAATGCCTTTATAGACACTGGATCACTACATGCGTATACATTGTTTTTTGGATCATGTAGCTTCATTTAGCTTCAAGCAGCTAAAGAGTAATACGGTTTGGTAACTGATTTGGTTTAAGTGTATACTTAATTGGTCTACAAGTATGGTGAATGTTGAGGGAAACTGTTGAATAGTGGCAGATTCTTTTGTCATTATTATTATTATTGTTATGGGAGGCTGTGGCGCAGTGGAGTAGTGCGTTGATGATCGGATCAGGGGGGCACAGGTTCAAACCCCACTGCAGTCAGCATGTCGTTGTGACCCTGACACACTTCACCCCAAATTGCTCCTGTGGGGATTGTCCACAGTATTGAATGTATGTAAGTCGATTTGGATAAAAGCATCTAGCAAGTGACACGTAATGTAGTTATTATTATTATTATTATTATTATAATAATGTTTGTCTTTTTATAGTGACCTGGATTGGCTTGTTGGTCCACTATAGCAAACTGGTAAAGGTGCATAAACTGCTACCACTCAGAATGATTTTTATGTATAAGAAGGTTAACTCGTAATTATAAAACTAAATTGGACTGACCAACAGAATAACAACATCTGCAAACAGCTAGACTGTTATTATAAAACATTTATACAAACATCCTTGTGTTGACCTTTCAGATGAAGTCGCTTGACGGTAAAGTGAAAAAGGAAAAGGAGAACGGCTTTGCCAGGTATGCTTAGACATTTCACTTCAGTACTATATTTATGCTACCAGCTGACGCATTGTAATATGAAGCCACATCAAATTTCTTCTGTTTTTTTCTTTTTTGCAGCCCTCAAGTAAAGCCTGAGCCCGAGGAAGATTTTTACCACTCGCCTAAAATTGAGAAGACTCTAAAAAGAGAACGTGATGTTGATATTGAGTGAGTGTTAGATCAGATTACACTTCCTGAATGCCCATGTTTCTGTTTCAAAAGTGTACTTTTACTGTGACCACACCTGTAACATGTGTGTATTTCCCCCCCCAGCTCTGAATTCAAGCCCAAAAAGCCTAAGATTGAAAATGACAAGAAGGTAAAGAAGCGGAAACAGGAGGACGAGGTGAGCAGAAGGCCAGCTTGGGTTTTCTTTCTAACTTTAAAACAATGAAATTGATCCCCTTTTTCTCAAAGCACAACATCTTTCGTGCTTTTATTTTTGCTCTCAAGATGTGAGAAAAATAACTTGAGTTTCTCTTCCCTATTTTATTTTAAGGACATCAAGCCCAAAAAAACAAGAAACAAGCCAGGAGTTGCTGATGGTAAAAAGAAAGCAAAGAACGAGCCAGAGGAGAAGTGGAAGTGGTGAGTTGTCTCTGCCAGCTGTATGACAGTTGCACACTCATCAGTATGTGGATGTACTTTGTCTTTTTGGATAAAGTAGTGTTTTGTTTCTGTGCTGTGTTCAAATTCCTGATTGGATGTGCTGGTTTGGTTGATCCCAGGTGGGAAGAGGAGAGACCCACAGACGGCAGCAAATGGAAGTTTCTTGAACACAAAGGGCCCGTGTTCGCTCTGCCTTACGACCCGCTTCCTAATAATGTCAAATTTTACTATGATGGTAAGATTGAACTCTAACAGCTGCACTGTTGATCAATGTTATAGCCAGGATGTCCGCAGGGTTTTTAAAAAAAGTTGATAAATCAATTTACCAAAAATTAAGGCTATTAAAAAGTATTAAACTGCATTTTCCAAGGCATTACATTTTGTAGTTTGTTTTCAATACGTATATAAATTGTCCAAAGAGGTTGTGTTCTACAGTCGGCCTGAATGTAATCATTGCGTAGGTGTGTAGTGTGATTCTGTTTATTTATGGCATCCCGTTGGATTTGACGTCATCTAAACAGGACATCGCTCGCTCACTGCTTGATAGCGTGCAAAGGCCCGTTTACGCCGGTTGTTAAACAACATCGTTATGGGGAAATGCAAGTCTGCGTCCAAATGGTTGGAAGATAAGGAGGAAGGACAATCAATACTGTATATAGTCAATGTGAGGTAAAGTGTGTCGCCAAGGTAACCGGATAGAAGTCAAAGTGGCGATGAGGTCTTAAAATGTAGGAAAGGGTCTTAAAAAAAGGTCTTTAAAGGTCTTCCATTGACTTCAGGACTCCTGCATATACCCTCTTTAGCATGTCAGCGTGGTACCAAACGCACCTATGTTTGCATATTTTAGGTAAGCACCTGAAGCTGAGCCCAGAGTCGGAAGAGGTGGCCACGTTCTTCGGCAAAATGCTCGACCACGATTACACCACAAAGGATATCTTTCGTAAAAACTTCTTTAAAGATTGGAAGAAGGTAGGAATTCAATGGAAGTATAATCTGTATAAAATCTTGGTAAATGAAAAATAAATCTGTTAAAGCGTGTCATGTTTTGCTGATGCAGGAAATGAATGCAGAGGAAAAGGGAAAGATAACAGATTTGAAGAAGTGCAACTTCTCCGAGATAAACGACTACTTCAAGGCTCAGTCTGAAGCCAGGAAGTCCAAGACAAAGGACCAGAAACTGGTAAGCTACTAAATGTTTCAAAGTAGCATTTGTTATATTTGTCAACAGTACAGGTCAATTAAACTGAAAACATAAGGCAGTCACCTTCGTTACTACTTGTTTAATTACATAGTTGTCTATCTGATTAAATGGGAGTCACACCATCGACAGTTGAGGGTTGGAGATCTGAAAAGATTTATTGAAATCCTTTCAAACGGTGCCCATTCAAACATGGTACATAACAACAATAACTACACATAAGTGAAGTTGGCAGACCTCAACATCTGCCACACTTTTTCATGTTTTTTTGAATACCAGAGGATTCAGTAAGGGTAGCTTGCCACTAGGGCTGTACCCGAATATTCGTTCGAGTACTATTCGGGTTTCAATTTCGTTATTTGCTTTTTATTTAATTTAATTTATTGAAATCTCCAATATCAACGTAAGAGCTTGTGCCTCTTCGGGGGATGCTAACACTTAAGTATAAACGTTATTGTTTACTTTCTTCGTCTTTATATGTAGATAATCTCCGGCACATGGTTTCCATAGCAACAGCGCTAACTCTCCTTCATTACATGTTACTTGTTAGACATTACATGTCACTTGTTAGAGGCTTTTATCCAAAGCGACTTAAACACTCAATACTGTGGACAATCCCCACAGGAGCCATTTCGGGTGAAGTGTCTTGCCCACAACGACATGCTGACTGCAGTGGAGTTTGAACCTGTGACCATCTGATCCAAGGCTCTATCCACTGCGCCACACGCCTCCTTCAAAATAAAAGCATGTCCATACAAAGTAGGAAGCCAAGCCAAATTACGCTTAAGACATATACAACGACAACGAAAGTAACAAACACAATGCAATATCCTTTTCAATTTCAAAGAACACAAATTGGGTTGTATACATTAACAAATAACTATAAAACAGCAATACTGTAGAATAACAAAATGAATGCCGTGAATAAACCGAAATACACGTTGAAGCGGTTCGCTGCTGAATATCCGGAGCCCGAAAAATGGTATTCGGGACAGCCCTACTATCCACAAGATAAATAATTCACCAACTAGGGTTTATTTTACCCCCAAGTCTTAGACACGTCTTAGATGTCCATAATATATTCTCTGTATTTTCACGACTTCAATCCAGTTTAAGTCTTAATTGTCCTACATCAAGGTAAACTCGTTTTTTTAGTCGATGAACATTCTTGTAAAGGACTTTATGATCTCTCTTTTTGGTCATCCAACATTGCTTATTTATGAAGTCATAAATGGTGTCAAATGTGCTTCTCCAAGTCATTGGTGACCCGTATATGTTCGTCAACATTCTAGTTTTGTCAACAAGATAAAACGATGGTTTTTATGTTTGGTCTTTGTAGAAATTAAAGGAGGAGAACGAGCGCCTCCTGCAGGAGTACGGATTCTGCATCATGGACAACCACAGGGAGCGCATTGCTAACTTCCGCATCGAGCCCCCGGGTCTGTTCCGAGGCCGTGGAGACCACCCGAAGATGGGCATGCTCAAACGCCGCACCCGGCCCAAAGACATCATCATCAACTGCAGCAAGTGAGTGAACGCCTGTCTGCTGTTGCTGCGGGATGTTTTACGAGAGTTCAACGACTAAATGTTTATTCTTTCCTCCTAGGGACTCAAAGCACCCCGATCCCCCTCCAGGCACCAAGTGGAAAGAGGTTCGCCATGACAACAAGGTGACCTGGCTGGTGTCGTGGACGGAGAACATCCAGGGCTCCATCAAATACATCATGCTGAACCCGAGCTCCAGGATCAAGGTGAGCCGACTGCTTCACTTTAAGGGCGTTTTCATATTTCATTCCTCTCTGAGTGCTGAACGGCGTACACTATTCAACTTTAAGTAGCATAGAGTCCTCAGAGTGTAGGAGACAAAATGCTAATTGAACCTGTTTTTTTATTGTTCATCATCACTTCCAAGAATCCATTTTATGGCCTTTCTTCCATCTGCTAAGGGGTTTGCTAGGCTTTGAGACAAAGGAAGCGAGCTAGGCTTGGAAATGGTCTGTTGACTATCAGGTCCCTCTTCAGTGATTTCATTATTTTCTTTGATAAACATTGTTAAACAACATCCCTACAGTGCTGACTTATTTGAAACCTGTCCCAGTGTCAACCCTAATGTAGCCTCTTAGCAGCTATATGAAATGTAGTCGCTATAGAGTTTGTTGCTATTACTCGAGACACTTCAATCTGTAAAAAGTGAGACTACAATGATTACCTGCTGTGCTGTGCAGCAGCTACTAACTACATTTCGTGTTCATATTGTGACTGTCGACACAAACATGGCCCCATCTAATTCATTAGTCACTCATTCGTCTGTCTGCAGGGCGAGAAAGACTGGCAGAAGTATGAGACGGCTCGCAGGCTGAAAAAATGTGTGGAACGCCTCCGAACCCAGTACCGCGAGGACTGGAAGTCTAAGGAGATGAGGATCAGACAGAGAGCCGTGGCACTCTACTTCATCGACAAGGTGAGCGGCATGAGCACTATTAACATTGTCTGTACTCTATGTAGCTTTGGGGAGTTCATTGTCCTGTAATTCCTTTTTAAATACTCGTGAGTGGGGTTTAGCAGGTGCTTAAACGCTGGCCTGCAGTCGGAGGGAATGTCTTAGACTGCCAAGGCACACG